CTAGTCTAGAAACTATAACTCTTATCTCATAGATATTCCCTTGGTGAACCAAATTCAAATAAGCTTATGATAGGCATTTTCATGGTCAGCTGGTGGTAGAGGGCGGGCAACAAAATATAATAAAGGCACTGAAATTAAAAAAAAATGTCTATAAACATAATAAGTCAACCATTCCTCACAGTGTTTCTTCATGTGGAGCTACTAGGGGTTCCTTCCCATTAGAAGTGATTAACTAGTTTAGTGGCTCATCAAGGTGGGTCCTAGCACTGTGCTCCACCCACATATAGAGGAGGGTCCTGAAAGCACTCGAATGAGCTAAGGATTAGGCTTGGTCAGAATTCTATTTAAATTTCCAAGAGCGCTCATTATAGAGTCACCACTTTGTTCCAGTTTGCTTAGGACTGTCCTGGTTTTAAAACTGAAAGTCTAGCCTCCCTGGAACCCCTCAGTTCCAGGTAAACCAGGACAGTTGGTCACCCTGTTTGATGGGCACAATATCAGGTAGGCACTTGAGAGCAGAAAATTCACAGTTCCTCTCACTCCTTCCAACATTCTCACTCTGATGGCTTCTTCCTTCTGATGCACTTCCCATATTAGGTTACACAAGGTCTCCTTGCCTCTCAGGGCCTTCTGTGTGTCAGATCTTCCCCACTAACAGAATTCCCAAGGGTCCTGTTACTGGGGGACCTCAGCACCCACCCACCCTTTCGTTTAGAGCTTCCTGTGTGGACTCCATGGTTCCCCATGGCTACACACATGCATGCACACACATGCATACACACATGCACATGCATGCATATGCACACATGCACACATGTGCACACACATATATGCACATATGCACACACACATACATATGCACACACACACATGCATACACAGCCCCATACCCACTGACAGTGATTCTCACCTCAGGGCTCCTCAGGCCTATGGCCTCCTTGGTGCTTGAACCTACCTCACTGCTTCGGTGGCTGGCAGATTCAGACCTCAGTGCATGTCGGTTGAATTGAGTAAATAAGCTCTTAAATCATTGCCTTCTCCCACATCCTGGCAGGGATGGCCCCACCCTTGCTTGGGACTCCTCTCACCAGTGACACCCCATTTCCTCATTGCCTTCATAGAGTAAATTCCCTCCTTTTTATTAGTGGGGAGCTGCCCCTTGCAGGCGGGTTCCTTGCCAGGCCTCCCACCCCATACTGCAGAAAGACTGGGTGTTTCCTGCCACTTCTGGAAACTGGCTGCCCACCCTACAATGGACACACACACACACACACACACACACACACAGGCGCGCTCACACACACCCCTCCTCTACCCGTCTCGCCTTTGGCCAAATCAGGATGGTCTGGACATCTCCCTAGGATGTCACTAGGTGGCACTGTGTGGCAGTCCCTGGACCTGGAATGGTCAGGATGGGGTCAGGCTCCTCAACAAGGAGCTTGAGGATCCGCTGCCTGGGGATTTCAGCTCTGGAAGCTGAGAGATCTGTGACCCACACTTCATCAGCACCACCTCATATGCAAACACCTGGGAGGATAATGTGGGGACACTATGAAGATGGTGAAAGCTATTATTAGGTAAGACAGGAAAAGGAAGCAAATCACTCAATGCAAAGTTTTGAAATTAAGGCTGTATACATAACGTACTCCATTCAATCACTTAGATGAAATGGTTAGCACCTCATACAGCCAGCCAGTTTAATATTACTTTTTAAAATCAATAAGAACAATTGTTTCACTGGAAGAGCTTGTCATTTTCATAAAAACTAGTGGATTTACCTATGATCAGACAGATGGCCAGTTACTGCAGGGCTGAGATTTTCATTGCTGTATTTTGTATTTGTGGAATTTAGGCTGTCATTTTAAAATCAGGTAATCAGGCTTTGTCTCCCTTACACCTGGTCCCTTTGTCATGGGGTACATATGTCCTTCAGGGTTCATAGTTAGTGAAGTCATTAGGAACAAAATGTCCTACCTAGTGCTTCAGGAATCACTGCCTCAGTAGACTGTGTGAGAGAGGAAGCAACACGGTAAATTAGCTGACGAAGCTAAATCGGGATGTGTTGTGATCGTGGCCACAGACAGATAAAGAACAAAAACAGTCTATCAAGTTAGAAACGCAGTAAGTTAATAAAAACATTTCCATGGAAAAATACGAGCTACAGCTGGAGAAGGAGGGACAAGGGATGATGGAAATTCAGGAAACAGAAAGTCAATGAAATAGTGCGATTTGGAAAGCAGTAATGCCAGGGAGCGATTTATGGGGTGAGACTGGATGGGTGTGCAATGTGATATGACAGCTAAATAAGCAAAGGAGAGTTCAACCCTCACAACCATCCCTGTCCTGCAGCGCAGGACCAGAGCGCTGCTCCCCACAGCCGGTACATTTGTTGCCCATTCACAGCCACTGAGTGGCCACCTATCGTGCGTCAGGCACCTAGCACACAGTTGTGTCATATCCTCCGAAAACTCCATGAGGCAGGTATTACCCCATCAGCAAAGAAACAGAAGCTCAAAGAAGCTAAGTACCTGCCCAGGATCACAGAGCTAGAAAGTGGCAAGCTGGAATTTAACCCCATGCCAGCCCAGTTCCAAAATCTCTTCTCTATACTTTATAACTGGCCCCCACTCAGTGAGTGAAGGGACAAGGGATGGGGACACCTTACTGTCCAGAGCTAGCAGGAGCACTGCAGCAACCTCTGGCTACAGACAGTGAAAGGTGCACAAGGGCCAGGAGACAGAACCTGGGATTCAGTCCCAGCTCTGCCTCTCAACAGTTGTGTGACCTTAACCTCTCTGTGCCTTGGTTCCTTCGACTACGAAGTAGAGAAAACAATATCATCCCCGCTGGGATGTTGTGACAATTAAGGGACTTTCAGTGTAGGCTCTTGGTGAACTGTATGGCACATTAAGTACATGGGACTAATATTACAAGACTTGTAAGCCAACCTGCGAATTGCTGGCACTTGAGCTGTTTGGATTCCAGTCATTCATCACGACCAGTCATTTCTAACCTTCTGCATTTGGAATCCTTTCAATATTAAACCCTCCTTAGCAAGGTGACTGGACTATCAGGAATGAATGAAGGGCTCTGCAATGAAGGTTTGGATGTGTCCAGCTGGGTACAGCCTCCTCAGGAGTTACAAGACCTTTAAGCCTTTTGTCTCACAAGTAAGCCCCTGTAGTCTAAGAAAATTTAGTTCAGAAGGAAATAAGGGTGAGAGGGAAGTGATGGTTTTGGAACCCATCCCAAATGAAGAATGGTTGAAGGAAGTAAAGATTTACAAGGCCTGGATAAGAAGAGCATGAGTGTCATCTTCAAATGGTTGACTAAATGGAGAAGAGGGGGCTAATTTATCCTGAGCTGCTCCTGAGGATGGAGCTAGAAGGAAGGATGGGGTGGTATGTATAGAGGAAAGAGAGCTGTGATGGTCATGAATGGACTGTCTCTGGGCTTCGAGGGTTTCGCTAGAAAGATGAGGTGATTAGATTAAACACTGTGTTTTCCAACAATTCTCTGACAGCAATGGGGTGTCCTACAATTCAATTCAATTCTTATGCTAACTACCCAGAGTTAGAGCAGCCCCCACACATTAAGTGGCTCAGCCTCACAAAACTGCCCCACTTCAGAGGCCAGCCTTGAGTCCCAGGTTCCCAGCCTACCCACCCTTGAGTTTGACTTGGCTACAAATTTGAGGGCTCTCACAAACCCCTTCAGGTTTGATAATTCACTGGAATGAATCACAGAACTCAGAAAGGTGCTAGACTTATGATTGCAATTTTACTATAAAGGATACAACTCAGGACAACCAAATGGAAGAGATGCATATGGGGTGAAGGGCAGAGAGCAGCCATGCTCTCTTTGGGCACACCCTCCCAGCACATCAGCGGGTTCATTAATCCAGAAGCTCCCTGGTTGTGTTGTTCCAGGGTTTTATACAGAATTTCATTGTGTGGGCATGAGTGGTTAAATCATTGGTCAAAGGATGGGGCTGAAAGTTCTAACTGTCTAATCAGGTATAATAGTTAGTTCCTCCCATCACCAGTTCCCCATCCTGAAGCTACCTAGTCCCCTCGCTCCACGGTCAAGTCATCTTATTGGCATAAACTCAGGTATGGAAGAAAGGGGCTCTTTATAAAATAACAAAAGGCACTCCTATCACTCAGGACATTCCAAGGGTTTTAGGAGCTCTGTGCCAGGAACCTGGGACAAAGGCCAAATATATTTTTTATTATACCACAGAAACACTTTATCATCCTTTCTGTTGCTAACATGCTATATTGAGTGTTTCTAAAGCTGATTACGAGGTACAGTTCAGCTCCATGTAAGAAAATACCTTCATAACTAGAACTCTTTGGCAAATTTAATGCACTGCCTCCAAAGGTCTTAGCTACCTGGACTAGACAGTGATCCAGATGAGGCTGGATGACCCTAAGGCTAAGAAGAAAGTCCCCACAGTGGGTGGTGGTTTGGACCAGATGCTCACTGATCACGATGGTTGGGACACAGTGGGATGTAATTGCCTTGCTTGATTTCAGACTCGAGAGATGCTGCCGTTTTGGATGAACAGCACTGGCAAGAGGGAGGGCTGGCAGCGTGGATGGCATGGATACGACAATGAGCTCATGGACATGAGGGGCATCTTCCTGGCCTTTGGACCTGGTAGGTGGGGAAATGACCAAATTCTCTTAGTCATCCACTCCTAAGGAAGTCTCTCCAGGGGCTGATGGTGCTAGTGAAGGCTGGCATGATTTTCTTTTTTTTCTTTTTTGTGTGAACCCTCTTTATGAGAAAAGCTGAGCAAACCCAGCCGGTCTCCATGAAACATCTTTTGTTGGCTTGCTTTCAAATGCTTCTTGGGTTTGGCAAATGTGGCCAAATAGTTTCCCTTGTAAATTTTAAATCTTGAGTGCAGCGAAGAAAATGTATTCCACATGTTTGTGATTCATTTTTTACTTAATTTATCAAAATGTTATTTCACAGCTATCTGATGTCCAGGAAAGCTTTTCAGACACCAGGTTGCTGACAGCTGTGAGTTTCCAAACTGACGTGATTGCTTCACGGGGTCTGACTTCCACAGTTCTTCCCTGTCTAGAGCACCCAACCCTATGGGAGTCATTTAGGTTAGCGCACAACCAGAAGCTGGGGTGTGCTCAGGGGCAGCTAGGAAATGACCTGGAGACTGACTCTGAGAATGAGCCAGGATGACCGGGATGTCGAACGAAAGCAAATTTACTGAGCCTTCCTTGACCAGATAAATTCCTAGGGCTGAAAGAGAGGTGGGGTGAAGAGGGCCTATTTAGTCATTTGCTTTAATTGATAGAGCCCTGTAAATGCTCATTTGGGAGAAGTTTATCAAACACTCTGAAGATCCTACTACTACCTAAACCCCGCCCCCTTTCTTTCAAAATAAATTAGGAGAAAAAGCATTCAACAGCCATCATTCATCAATTGACTGGCTCGTGAGCTACTCTTCTTACTACTGTCCGCCCTCCTTATTAAATATAAAAAGCTTACCCCGATATCCATATTCCAAATGCATTTTTCTGGATGTTGATCAAAATGCTTCAGCCCATGGGAAGTCCACACTTTCCTTTCAAATTATGAGTTCGAGATTACGGCTAGAAGCCCTGTTCTTCTCGATGGAGCAAGACAAAGATATATGTCAACCCACCTGTTTTGGGTCACTCTACTTAACACAAACGAGCTGCTGAGAACTGTGAGGTGGCTGTTTCTGCACCCTCCACGGGGGCCTCTGGGAGCCTTAGTTTAGGGAACCCATTGGTCCAAATCCTTTCCCACCTGTGGTTCAAGTTCCCAGTCCTGAAGGAAGCGCCAGCACCAGTAGCAGCAGACATGTATAGAGCCCTGACTGGGTCCAGGACATTGGCCTAAGGGAAGGTACAGAGGCTGTCCAACAGGCTGCCATCAACCAATAATCATTATCAGGTGCTCCCTGTCAGCCTCGCGCTGGTGAGATCTGTGGTACTCAATGCTAAATGAATTAGTGATGGAGCCCCAAGGACTTCGTTGAGGTTAACGGCTAGATTAGGTTGGAGACATTCCAAGGTCATGGCTTTTACACGAGAGAGCATCCGACAGCCAGGCTTTTATTCAAAAGCATCACCTCCTTCTTCCCCAGAGAGAAAAAAGATCATGAATGCAAAACAGTTGTCAGTTGAAGGAGTGTTTATGAGCAAGAGTCTCAGGCATATTTTAAAAGCGGAAGCAACTCTAGCCTTAAACCAAAAATTTTAAACAAAGTACCCAAAGCGGCATTAGCTTCGAGTTCAATTCAGCGGGGAGATTTTGTCCATTAACAAAGGCCTCCATCATATGCTCCTTTCAAACTAAAAGCCTAAGTCTTTTATAGACAGAAAGACAACCCCTGATGAAAATGGACTGGGCTAATTGCTAAAATGTTTCCAGGCAGATACAAGCCTTGGGAGCCTCCCGCAAACCATCACGCTCCTGGCTCCAATTCTCATGAAAGATTGAACGGCTTTACACACTGGCTGTTTACTCAGAAGAAAATTTAAGAGCGAGGCCATTAATAGCTATCTAGCTGCACTTTGAGATAAAGGTACATCCCTCCTGATTAATTGTCTGTGCTTCTTGCTTAGGGAGAACGCTGGGCATCATTGTGGCTGCCCACATACCGTTTTAGAAGCCAGTAAGTCTGGTCCAGCTAAGAGAACGGGAAATCATTCTGGAAGATTGCCTCTCTCTGGTTAATCCCAGTTTCTAATTTGAACAGCCTAATCTTGCCCCAGAGAACTCCACATTCCTGATAAGGCAGCAGGAGCGTGATTCAATGAGCTGCTTGCGAGCCAGCAAGCCTCACTCGGAGAGCAGCCCAAGGTGGCCGGGCACTGCGTGAGCCTGCACAACCTTCTGGCTTTAAGAGAAACAGTTTTAATATCCACACGATTTAAACCCATGGGAATAACTTGGATTCCCCATCCAGGTTCAAAATGCCATCTTGAGTTAGCAGAGCATGGCTGTCTCCTCCCAAGTTGGATCAGGTATTGTTTTGCTCTTCAGGAATTTGCTAGAAGCTCTCTTTTCAGCCTGGATCATGTCTGCATTGGGCCCAACGTCCCAGCCCTGCAGAATGGGAAGCCATGAACCAGATGGAAGGGGAAAGAAAAGCCAATTCTCCTTCCTGCTTACGTGCACAGGATTTGATTTTGTACCTTCAACATAAAAAAAAAAAAAGGCCTTCTCCAACACTTCTGTCTGTAGAGCTTATCTCAGTATTTTTGCGAAGTGTTAAAGAAGTGGGTGTTTGAAAGGCTGGGGAAGGATACCTTGGATTTTACTAATGTCCACCACCCCACACACCCTCCCACCCACACATGTGACAAGGACACAGCCACCGTGTAATGGGGGCGTTATGATCATCACACTCAGGTACATGGCAAGTCACGGGGAGGGAGAGAACGTGTCTCCCTATCACTGGGGCAACCTTCCCATTAATTTCCCAGGCTGCAGCTGATTCTTCTCTGGGGAAGTAAAACCACCATCTTGGTCTAGCTGTACAATTTTCCTTGCTATGAAGAAGGGGTGCCCTCCTGGAGCCGCCCCTCCATTCTCCTCTCCAGGGAGGTTCTGGATGTTTTTAAAACTATTTTTACCCTGACCCTTATCCTCCCTGCCCCCCAAAAGAAAAGTGAACCCTCCAGAGAATTTATGGAGTATTTTCACTCCATAGTTTGCCCTTGGTGGGCATTTCCTCTACATGTTTCTTAACTACTATGAGCTGCCATTTACTGAGCATATACAGCATGCCTGGAGCTATGACTTAGGTACTATGTCCCTGCCCATTTCCTGACATTACCCAGCTTGTAAGTGGCTGCAGGCTGGCTGTAGAGCTCATGACCCTTTTTATACTGAATCCTACTTTAATGCTCTGAAGTGAGCAAGACCTATCTATCCCTTGCCCTGGATCTAACATACTCTGTGGCAGAGTTTTCTGCATATAACTTTCTTCCATATTTTGTAATTTCAGGGTTGACACAGAGCAGAATTTGGTGTTGGCACTTCTGGACTATGTTGCTGTTGGTCTGTTTGTTTTTTAAATAAAGTATATGTGACCCTTTTAGCAAGGCAATTATGAAGATTATTTTCTAAGATAGAGAACGTGGCTTTACAGCCCCCAAACTACCCATTTCCTTTAAAAATCTTAGCTGGACTTAAAAGCACATTCACAGGCCTTTACCAGTGGATAAAATCTCCCTCCTGAATTCAACCTCAGTGTAGCTTTGGGTGTTTTGTGGGAAGCTCTGGTTTGGGGCCTAAAAGTGAATCTCCTGATGTACATTACCAAACTCTTACATTCGCTCTTAAACAGACAAGCATTCTGCAGTCAGCATCTTCCTCACCTCCCGTGGAGAAGGAGTAGGTTCACTCTTGATGGAAATCCCTCCTTCAGTGTCCTGACTTACGAGGCTCTGAATGGCCAGCTCTGCCCTTCATGCTCTTGTGTCACCACTGGAGTGTGGTGCACAGCTCTGGGTAGAGGCACAACACTCTTCTCCATTAGATCTCCCTGAGCTTTCCTTGCTCCTTAACTCCAACACAGTTCACTTATTTTCCACGTGGCCAAGTTATTTCATCTGCCAGTGAAAGGCTCCCAGGGACTGTCCAGTTGATCTTCCAATCGTTATTTACAAAGCCCTGAGATGAGCCATTGAGCCTGGGTTGAAATGTTTTTACTTTAATCACGTATGTTTGCTGCTGCTCTGAGTTAGCCAGTGTTGGGGAAGCTATGCAGTTAGTTCCACAGTCCATCCATCCCGGGGACCTCCATGTGGCAGGAAAATGGAGAAATAGTCTTGAGTTGCTGTGAAGCTGTGCAATGGAAACTGGCACCCTGACTAACCAGTCCCTGCCAGATAGGTGATAAGTATGCCATTTAATTGGGTTTAGGGGAGCCCTGCAAGACAGTCAAACCTCTGTGACCACAACTGCTCTCCAGCGCTCTGCAGAAATGAGTGGTTTCAGGTGGCCCTTCTGCTGGTCCAGTAAAGCTCTGCTGTCACAAGGGAGCACAATAATGCAGAGGACAATGTATTTTCTGATTTGTCTTTTAAAGAAACTCATCTCCATGAGCCATAGAAAGTTACTTCCTTCCCTAAGCTATAGCCTTACAGATACTCTCCTGTGTTCACAATCGCGGGCCATGCCCCCTTTGACAGAGCTGATTTTCCAAGCCCAATGCTGCCTGAAGCCTGAAGCCTGAGCATAATTCCTCCACATTGTGGTTCAGCCCCTCTCTGCCCCGTGAACAACTGTGACAACTTGTTTGCTTGGCTTTCCCTTTCAGATTTCAAATCCAACTTCCGAGCCGCTCCCATCCGATCGGTGGATGTCTACAACGTCATGTGCAACGTGGCAGGCATTGCCCCCCTGCCCAATAACGGTTCCTGGTCCAGGGTAATGTGCATGCTGGAGGGCCAGGCCAGCTCGGCTCCGGCTCTGTCTGTCCTGCCCAGCGGCTGTGCACTGGCCTTGATTCTCCTCTTGCTATTTCAATAGCTGCTCCTTTGTTGTCCCGAACACTCAGCCAAGTGGACCTCCGTGGTGGAAAGGTTTTCATTTTCTTTTTGAATAATAGCTTCATTAACAATCAAGGCCACAGAAATTGTGAATATATTATTCTTGGATGATTTTATACATAAATGTCCCTACTTCTTAAAAAAAAAAATCCAAACTTTATTTTTTCTGGAGGTAAGGAAAGTCTTACTTTTCGTTTGTTTGACTCTGTCATTTTCCCCTTTCTTTTCATGTAGTAACTTGGATGAACTGTCCAAGCAGGGGCCTGCCCTGTAGCGAACAGCCTTTGAGTGGATGTTGCATGGTAGTCCTGGGCCCTGCTCTGTCCCGCCTTGCACAGAGCAGGCCCTGGTCTGTGCCCTGTCCACACCCAGGAGCCAACCTCGGGGTCTATGGCCACCGTCCTGTACTGCTCCTTCCATCCCAGAAAAAGGAGATTCCACATGACAGCAGTCACTGCCATCTGTTTCTGATTCAGCTGGTGGAGTTTCTCCATTTTATACAGTCTCAGAAAGGGCGTATCTTAGCTCGAGTCATCAATCAATCAAAACCCCTAAGGACTGGAGAACTCAGAATAAGGTGACAGGCATGGGTTCCCTCCCAAAGTCTGAATGCACGAAAATGTCTCCCTGGCCTTGAGGAGCAGAAAAGCTTACAATAGATCTGAGCTCCTGTGCAACTTCTCACAGTGTCCTACAGCCTGAAACCTTGCACATTGTGGATGGATTGACGATTGCCCACCGGCCCGCCTGTCTGTGTGAAGGCTTACTCAGAGACTGACACCCTGGATCCCAACACAGAATGTAGTTGACTATAGCAACACCTGACATACCATTTACAGTGGGGCAAGGGATGTCTTGCCGATGAGAGAATGGGCATACCTGCAGAAACCTCAATTCGTTGTTTGGATTGGTGATGCATTAAGCATAAGTTTCATGCACTGGAGTCCTGGACCTTTGCTTGTTTAACAATGACAGCAAAGGGGATCCTTGAGTGACACAGAGTTCCAAGGAAAATGGAGGGGGAAGGGGAGAATGAACATAATGGCGTCAAATCCCCATCACTAACCAACAAGCCATTTGATTAGGAAACAGTGTGGTCAAAGGGGCCACCTCAGAGACCTAAGTTCTTTAGAAACCCTGAGATGAGCCGTTGATCCTGGGTTGAAATGTTTTTAGTTTAATAATGTAAGTTTGTTGTAAAACAAGGGATAACTGCGTTTTCAAATGATTCGAGTCATGTACGTATATCATTGCATTCAAATGGCTTTGCACTAAATGAGGCACATTTGCCAATGAGACTTTTTTGTCAGGAAAAGAACACCTCAGGTCTCAGGATGATGAAGCCCTTTATAGGGTGCCTGCCTTGAAAAATGGATATCAACGCTCACCCTGATTCAAGAAGGCAGGGAGCCGTCTCTGTGCCTTGAAGCATGGGAGCAAAGGATCACTGCTTAAAAATATCGAATTTATCTTCACAAAAGGTTTCTAAGGGTTTATGTAACATGTTTTTAAAACGGCAGCAAAGCATTGAATCAATTGGAAAGGAGGCAAATCAGCCGTTGTTATCTGGCTGAAAGCAAATTAGTACTCTCAGAACATTGGCAGTGGCTGCTGAAAGGGGCATCTATTATTCAAAGTTTCTTTTCTCCTAAAGGATGGTGCTGTAATGAATTCAGCAGAGCCTTCCTTCCTCCCTCATGAAGGAAGGATACTTAAAAGACAGCCAAGTGATTCCACTAAAAGTAGATCATCCAAATCAAAAGGGCTGTAAACATGGACACAATCGTGCACTTGTCTTTCCTGTTCTGTTCTACCATTTTCTTCCCCCTCATTCATTCTTAAAATCTTCAAACTACATATTAAAATTTCAGATTGATGTCTGACAAAGTATAGTTACTCAATAGCTAATCTTGAATCGATGAATGAGACTAAGATACTTTTGGAATTATGACTATTGGTAAGTAATTGAGAAAATTCAGCCCCTGAATGGAGAAAATAACTTTTTGCCTAAAATAATGCATACATTTTAGTGGCTTAATTCTTTGGCTAGAGTTTTTTCTTCTTTGATTTTTGTTTTAAAGTTACATTATTTTCCCTAGGAAAAGTCTATTTTCTCTAAATGGTTTTGTTTCACAGGAGTAAAATCTATGAGGAATACATATAGACACCTTTTCTCCTGGATTATTTTACTACTTCATTGCTAATTCCAGGAGGAAGATAATTGGATTGACCTGCAAATACCGAAGATAAATGAAAGGAATGATCCTTAAATTGAAGATGAGACGAATGGCTACTTTCCCTGCCCATATGTGAAATCTCCAGAACCCAATTCAATTAAGTTCTGAAGACTTAAGCATAAATTAGAACAGGCTCAGGGAATTCTTTCTAGCCTTGGAGAGTTCTGAGTTATAAAGTTCCAACTCTCTTTGCTTTTAAAGGAAGCTTGGAAATCCAGGTCTGAGTTCAGTCACAGACAGCAGTTTGTAAATGTTCTGGGATTATAAGCATCATCTGTCTCACCTTCAGAGATGCAGATGCAGAGGATCTGGGTGGGGCCTCAGGCGATACTTTAAGTCATGTTGATCTAAGATTTGGATTTGCTCTAAAGGAAAATGGGTTTTGATTTGACCCTGGTAGACCTGAGTCTCCTGACAGCAATTTCATAACCAACCAGTTTCTCCAGAGGCCATTAGGCTGGCATAGGCTGTTGATCCCAGCTGGGGCAATTTTCCAGCCCTCTTTAAACCAAAGCAGATCTGTACCCCCCAGTGATGGAGAGAGGAACCAAACAGGCACACTGGACTTCTCCACATCCTGCTCCTTGGGAGTCTAAGATTCCCAATGGTGCTATCAGACAAGCTCATTGTTCAAGACACACAGCTCTTTTATGAATGTCCTAAGAAAGTGTTTTGCATTTCTGTAAATATCAAGAGATTTCCAAATGTGTGTTTATTCTGTCTAAGCAATTAGTGATAGACCAAAGTCAGCGCTGGAAAAACTAGAAGGAAGGGAGGGTATAGCCTTGGCCGACTGGTTATAAATATGTGAAATTTGGTCTCAGGTACATCCGATGGAAATACACTTCTACGTTGCTTTGAAATCATAAAATAGCACCTAGTGCAATGCCTCAAATGTTGAATAAATGTCCCATAAATATGTGTTGAATGATAAAAAGAATAAATGTAATTAAGAAGATTTGCTTACATCTCAGATATTCTCTCTCTACCTACAGTTCCTCAAATTAAATGAACTTTTCACTTTTGGCTTGCTATCTTTTCTTATCACCCAACTGATAATATAATTTATACTTCATTCCATGCCATGAAGTAGACATATTCCATCCCAGGCTTATAAATTTGATGGGAAGAAGGAAGGAAGAAAGGAAGGAAGGGGGGAAGGAAGGAGGGAATGAAGGAAATGAAATGAAATTTTAAATATACTGAGCATATTCACCTTTAAAAATGTAACTGCTTTATTGAGATTTAACTCACATACCAAACAATTCACCCATTTAAAGCATACAATTCAGCGGCTTTAATATATTCACAGAGTTATATAACCATCACCCCCAAAAAGAAACTCCATATCCCTTAGTACATTAGCAGTCACTCCGCATTTCCTCCGACCATCACCCCCGGGGCAATCAGTAAACTATGTTCTGTCTCTACAGATTTACCTATTCCGGATATGTTATAAAAATAGACTAACACAGTATGTTGTCTTTTGTTGCTGGCTTCTTTCACTGAGCATAATGTTTTCAAGGTTTTAGCATGAGTCAGTACTTCATTCTTTTTATTCCCAAATATTTCATTGTATGGATGTACTACATTTTATTTATCTGTTCTATAGTTGATGGACATTTGTTTTTTCCCACTTTGTGGATATTATGAATACTACTGCTCTGAACATTCATGTCCAAGTTTTTGTGGACATATGTTTTCATTTCTCTTGGGAATATACCTGGCATGGAATTGCTGAATCATGTGGTAACTCTGTTAAAGCTTTGAGGAACTGTCAGAATGTTTTCCAAATTGGCTGCACCATTTTACATTCCCACCAGCAGTATATGAGGGTTCCAATTACTCTCCATTCTCACCAATACTGGTTATTATCTGTCTTTTTTTTTTTTTATTACAGCCATCCTAATGGGCATGATGTGATATCTCATTGTGGTTTTCATTTGCATTTCCCTAATGACAAATGATGTTGAGCATCTTTTCATAGGCCTATTGGCTGTTTTTGTCTATTTTTGTTGAAGAAATTGTCTATTCTTTTGCCCATTTTTTAAATTGAATTTTTGTCTTTTAATTATTGAGTTATAAGAATTCTTTATATATTCTGGATACAAGTCCCTTACCAGACATCTGATTTGAAGATACTTTTTCCCCCCGTTACAAGGCCCTGAACCTGTAAGAGCTCTGCAGCTGACAGGAAGGAAGGCGAATGGCTTGTGAAGCCAGAAGACACAAAGACTAATCCATAGCAGTTCTGACGTTAATTCCCTGAAGGCTGAATACCGTCCAGGGCGTTTCTTTTCTGTGTCACCCAGCCCGCTCACTGGAGCAACACAACCTCTTAAGGAGCCTCACTGTGGTTGTTCCCATAGTCACCAAGGTGATTAAGGATTCAGTATGGCCTGATGCACAGTGACCACACAGAACCACTTGTTACCTGGTCCTTGGGAAGAAGCTCAACGCAGCTCACTGTCCTGCACCATTTCTTCAGACCACCCAGCCCTGCTGGCTGTCCTGGTCTCCCTGTTGTGCTCAAGTTCAGGGCACTCCAAACTGGGTTTCATGTTTTTGCCAGAAGCCCTCAGAGATAAGGCATAAAATTCTATGAAATAACATTGTCCCAATGGTTAGTCTTAGTTTAACTCTAAGTGAAAATGATTCATTTTCTTTCCTCTTAAAACTTTTTAGTCATGTATTTGCCAAAAGAGTTTATATACTCTTGGCAAGTTTGAAGTACAGTCAAATAAATTGTATTTGATCAGGTCGGAGCCCAGGTCTGGCTTATTCACCTCTGTATATCCAGATCCTGGCACAGAGTTGGGCACACAATAGGCCCTCAAATATTTGAAGAATAGATTCGTCTAATTTCTTCCTCTTTTCTTTTCTTTTTTTTTCTTTTCTTTTCCTTCCTTCCTTCCTTCTTTCCTTCCGTCTTTCTTTTTTTCTTTTTTTACAAAAAGACCATGCTAACTATGTAATACAATTATTTGAAGTTGTGGAGCTGCCTTGGGGACCTGTCCCGTGTGGAACGAGTCCCTTCAGAGAAGGTTCAGATTGCTCAAGGCAGAAGAATAGCACACATACCACACCCTTTGTTATGGGTTGAATTGTCCCTCCCCAAAAGATATGTCCAAGTTCTAGTCCTCAGTACCTATGAATGTGACCTTATTCAGCAATAGAATTTTTGCAGAGATAATCAAGTTAAAATGAAGTTGTAATGGATTAGACTGGGCCTTACTCCAATGACTGGTGTTCTGATAAGAAGAGGGAAATTTAGACCTAGAGACATAGGGAAGAAATCCACATGTTGACAGAGACAGAGACGGGAGTGATGCATCTATAAGCCAAGGAACACCATGGACTGCTGGCCGCCACCAATAGCTGGAAGAGGCAAGGAGGGATCCTCTCCTGGAGCCTTCAGACGGAGCATGGCTCTGCTGACACTTGCATTTCAGAATGCAAGCTTCCAGCACTGTGAGAAAACACATTTCTGTTGTCTTAGGTGCCCGGCTTGTGGTAATTTGTTACGGCAGCCGCAGGAAAGTCACATAACCTTCCAATTGCTTTTGAAGCCAATCTACTTTACTAAAGAGTTCTCAAGCTCCTCCTCCACACAAGGTACTAAGTTTGGGGACTACATAAAAGAGAAGAAACACTGATACTTCCTCACAGAACTTACAATGTAGTCCCCTCATTTCTTCCATTGTTAAGCAGAATTGAATTCTCATGTCTGTAGAACAAAATGTTCTGGTTGCTACAGGCAATGCATAGAGAGAATTGCAGAGAAAACAGAACTCGCACAGTTCAAGAAGCCATCAGCTCTAGAGCAGAGGAGCTGGAGGCAGGACGCTCACCTGCTCATGCTCCTGGTAGTACCTCATCCACTGCCTCCTTTGGTGTCTTGCTCTTGGCCACTGGATAGGCCCCCTCCAGCCTGCTATTTGCTTTGCCTGTATGAGTTATCTCACAGCAAAAGCAGTGATGGTCACATCACTCACCTGGTTAAAAACCACCATTGTCTCTCATTCTTATAGAATTACATTTCAAATTCTGCCTCCACCCTCTTTCTGTGGTCTGACTTCCCCCTCCATCTCCCAATGAGCCATATCACATTTCTCAGCTGAGCCCCCCTGAATGTGTGATGCTCAGCTCTCTTCTATTGTCCCTATATCCATGATGCCCCATCCAACTCTCTGTGTAGTAATCTTTTATTTATCCGTCATAGCCTAGATTCTCTGTGAAGACATTGTGCTTTCATATTCTTTTATTGTTTCTTTTATTACAAAGCAAGTTACACTGCATTGTAATAATTTGTTTTCAAGTGTCTCCAACTAGGCTGTAAGCTAAGCAGAATGCCAAAATTGTGTCTTCTCAGTTTTGGAGTCTCCAAAGAAAGTCTGGAGCACCAAGGAAGTCTGCTACAAAAATTGTTGATTATTGTCTGGAGCATAAATGAATGAATGAATAAATGAATGAAGTGAAAAGGTTAGGACACTCTGGTCAGAAGATCACATGAGTTTGGACCGAGCTTCTCGTAGGAGCGATGGGTTGGCAATGCCTGATGCAGGAAACGTTTTTGTGGAAAGTAGCAGAATTTGACAAATGACTAGCTGTGTGACACGGAATCCAGGGGGCAAGTGTTTCTTTTTCAGGATTTCAGCAGGCCCCCCTCTTTAGCCACAAACAAGAGGAAGTGAAACAGATGGGAAGAAAGGAAGAAAAGATAAATTAGCTCTGTCTTCACCAAGTTTAATTTGGCTTTTCAACAGAACTCTAACACAAGCTTGTGCTGTCATTTCCCTACAGCTTGGAAGAGTTCAGGATCCCAGCCTGTGAGTCGGATTTGCTTTTGCTACTGAGAAACAGGAACGGGTGGCAGGGGAGGGGGAGAAGAGTTTTCAGAAGGAGGAAAGGGGCGTTTGAGGAATTCCCTCCTAGGAAAGCCTTGTTCACACCCCTCCCCCTCTCCCCTGTCCTGCTGCTTCTTTGGAAAGTCTGGCGTGGGTGGTGTCAGCGAGGCACACAGGAACTCAAGTTCCACCATAGCCCAGAACAAGGCAGTGCTCAGAAGCACCCCTCCACTCCCACACTGGGTGACAAGGGCCAGAGGGACAGGGCTGGGAGCAGGGGCAAGAAAAAGGAGACAAGGAAGCCATTCTGCCTGCTCTTAGATGAAAGGAGCAGAAGGGATTCTGGGAGCTCATCATATTCCAGACCTTAGTCCATTTCAACAAAGTAAGAGAGACTGGGGTTAATGGATAATAAACATTATTTCCCTGGGTGACCTCTGGGAACCTGCATGAAGTGGTATATGGCTTGTGGAGGATTTGGCATCCCAGGATCCAGGCTGCTCTCTGCTGCTGAAGCCCTAAAACTAGTACCTACCTGGTGCTTGGTATTAGGAAATGCATTTTATACAAAGCCTCTCTTATTTATCACAGGCAACTGAGGAGCCTAGAGATTAAATGACTTGCCAAGGTCACACAGGTAAGAAAGAGAGATTCAGGTCAGTGTGACTCTGGGTGGGAAGAGAAGCATCACAGCACTGGCTTAACGTGTTCCCACTGATCTTCATCAGGATTGCCTCAAGCCTCCACCCCTCCAACAATGCAAGCAAAGTCAATCAGAAGCCTCGCTCTGTAAATGGCTTCAAACATCCTCTCTGAACTCTCCACCTGCACCTGTCACTCCATGATCCTCCACACTGTTTCTGGAGCTGCCACTGATGACCCCAAAGTACCATCATATGGCCCCTATCAGCTCCTAAAGGGGAGAGTTATGTTTATCTATGTGCATTGTGTAATAATTTTAACAAATTAAAGTTTTAGTTTGGGACACTGGTTCTCAAACTTGGCTGTCCAGAATTGCCTGACAAAATTACTTAAACATATTGATGTCTATGTCCAGGCGCCAACCCTGAAGATTCGGACTCAAATGGTCTGGAACGGACCATTTGATTTTTCCAGGTAACTTCAAATATTCAACCAGGAATGAAAAATAGCCAAGGGGAAGAAAAAATTAATAAAA